TTGAGGTACGCCTTTTACAGGTGTCGTCGGCACCTACAGATTGGTGACGATCTTTTATGCGATCTAACTCCCAGTTATACAAGTCCCCGGTAACGCCATAACTATTAAGGGTGACCAACAATTTTCCGCGGGAAATAATATCAAAAGCTTTCGCTAAATCTATGTAGGCAACTGTTTTTTCTTTATTTTATTTATTTACTGTTCAAGATTTGTCAATATTTGTTAAGTAGATTTTTTGGTACAAAAGCCATGCTGATAGGTGGATATTAAATCATTGGTATCAAGATAAATAAGCAGCTTGTTTATCGTCAGGAAATAAGCTAGAAAAATATTGATTAAATATACTTGCAATATCGATATATCAGAAGTGATCACATTATCAATGTGTTGCGGAATTATTTGTTTATTATTTGTTTACGTGGATAAGCAAATTTTCCTTTAATGTAAGTCCAGAAAGAATCTCTATTAACAATCTCTATTAACAATTACAATCTCTTTATTTGAAAGGTAATTATGAATGACGATAGGGAAACTTTTCAAGCATTCTTTACATGCAGAAAGATCATTTGGCAATTTGGTTAATTAGTATTTGTTAAAAAGCTTTTCGACACTTTTTAGAAGAGAGTTTAGAAAAGAGTGAAATAAAATAAGAAATCTCAATTTATTTCTGCGAAAATAGAATTAATGATTTTATAATCACAATAGCAGTAATAGCGGTAATTTCTAGAAAATCTCGAAAATTTTAATGAAGCGTGAATGATATTGTGAAAAGATTCCAAGACTTTAATATTGCCAACAATAGAGGTAGAAGTAACTAATACAATATCTATATATCTATATAATACAATATAGTGTTATGCCTAGCGGCAATCTTATCATGTTGCTCTAGACCTATAAAATACAAAAGTTTAGAAAGTTCAAATTTTTCAACTAACTATGTTTTCCAATCTATGTTTGGCATATTGAGATCACCAACAATTACATAATCTGCACCAAATAATCTTAATTTAAATAACAGGTTGTAAATATCCATAGTGAATTTATTTCCACAGCCAAGTGGATGATACAGATTTAAAAGAAAAAAAATATTTTTGTTATTAAGATAAATTTTAGTTATAAAGATTCAAAAGAGGAACAGTCATAATCATGATTTACAGAAATAGATGAATTACAGGAATTACAGATGAATTACAGATTTGTAATAATCAGGAAAAGGCCACGAGTAAATCATTTATTCTTGCGTGTTAGTTATATGAAGTTGTCAAAGTTTAATTCTTGCTTATCATCCAGTAAATTCATCCAACCACGTTTCATTGATACAAAAACTACTTACTATTTGGGTTACCAATTAATAGTAACTGTAGGTCATAAAATTTAAATTTATATTTTAAACTTCTAGCATTATATATATATATATATATATAAATTATATTATTCTTATGCTATTAACCTTACTTGGATTATTATTCTGGGCTGCTGTAGACTGATGAAAAAAAAGTGGAATCGAAAAATTATTCGTCGTTATTTGTTTGTATTATATAATAGAAGTATTGTGTGTTTTAATCAAAGAGGCTTTTTCTTACAAATAAGTTGTTAGCGTAATTTTTTTCACAATTTCTGGTAAAACCCATTCGTAGATGAGAAATTTTTGTCAAGGAACCTGGTACGAGGATGACGTGAAGATTTGTTTTTGGACAAAAACAAGCGAGATTCAAATCCTTCTTTGGTCAAATACTATCGATTTATATGAAAAATTCAGTGATTTCAGTGATTTAATAAAAAATGCAACGATGAATTCGCGAAGATACAGCAATTGCCGCTTATTTCAAGATTTGCAGATCTCAAATTTTGAGCTCATAATGCTAACTGTTGAAACAGATTACCAGCCTGGAAGTTGAAATTAAGCAAATTAATATCTAATCAATAAGCAATGGAAGCAGTGGAAGTGAAAGTTGATAGAAAAAATCGAAAACTTACACCGATAAGCAAACAAAAACAAAATTTTACAACAATGATTAACGAAAATAGATATAAATGATTAATCCACTGCGATTTATAAATTGCAAAATATCCCGAAAATTTTCAAAATCATTCATCAACGGAGATCCATTTTATCTAAGGCGGATAAATCTCAAGAATCCAAACAAATTTCCATTTTACGAGAAATTTGAATCGTCAGCCAAATTTTGCATTTAAATGAGAAAATCTATTGGAGGAAAATCAAGGCTTTAAAATGATTTACATATAAATAATTGCAGAAAACAGAAATTTGTGGATTTGTTTATTATTTGATTCGCTTGTCGACAGTTTATTTCAGTTTTTAATTTAATTTTCTTTACAATAAGCAACAAATCCAATTGTACTGGCAAGAAAGAATCGAAACAGAAATACGCAGTTAAGGTTATGAAAATGTACACAGCAGCTTTTTAGAAACGAATTTTTAAAATAGCAAGAAAAATTACAAAAATTTCGAAAAACCAGCCCGAAATGTGAGTTCAAAATTTAATTTTTAACAAATTTTAACAAATAATATGAAAACTTTTATCAAAAAAAATCGGCTTATTGTAATTGTGCTTTGCTTGAGGATTTTCTCAGCTTCAATAGCCTGGAGCGAGTCTTGCAGGAGGACAATGCTCGCATGTTCCCTTAAATCCAGCTTCTCCTGGATGACCTGGCGTGCCAACTGGCCCAGGCTGACCCACAATTCCAGAATTGCCTCGAGGGCCAGGCTGACCTGGTGTACCTGGTTCACCGACCACTCCAACTAAAAAAAAGATCAGTATGAATACTATTTATTAAACAGCACAATAAATCAAACATGGATTTAGAGAATTTAAAAAACAAACCAGGTCCTCGAGATCCTCTTGGACCCATGTTTCCAGGACGTCCCGGTGGTCCCATTGGTCCTGGTTGCCCTGATTCTCCTGGACGAGCGAATCCAGGCCGGCCTGGAAATCCTTTTGGTCCTATATTCCCATTACGACCTGGTGGTCCTACTCGCCCTGGCAATCCTGGCTCGCCTCGTATACCATCAACTCCTGGTTGACCACTATCACCCATCGGTCCAGGAGATCCACGTCTTCCGGGAGGTCCAGGTGGACCTTGAGGTGCATCACATGGACATTGATCGGGATATCGTTTGAAATATTCAAGAGGAGCCTGTGCGATGGGGCCTGGCAAACCAATATCTCCAACACTGCCATCAAGGCCATCTGGTGCATCTTGGCCAGGAGGTCCGGGCAAGCCTGGTGGGCCACGCTGGCATGTGCAACATCGAATCTGGCGCTTATCACGTTTGAGTTCTGCTATTTTCATATTGGACAGAACCGTAGCCATACGAACTGATGTTCTATGATCATTTTCTGTTTGCATTTTCATCATTTCTTTCCAGATTTCTTGAGTTCTTGCCTTAAAGCAAAATTTTAAGAGCGATTCGTTCTAAAAAATTTTATTCTGAAAATGAAATAATTTCCGTAAAAGAAAAAAAGGGATACCTTGCAGAGCTCAACATCATTTTGAACTTGACTTTCAAATCTCTGAATAAATGTGAAAATAAGGGGAAATGTTATGAGGCACGCAGTAACAGCTCCCGTTGCCAACACAGTTGCAGCGAATGCCGAAGTCTTCATCGAACGTCGCAATATAATTTTCTCTTCCATTCTATGAACTACAAAAATTATGATATTATTTTCAATTATTGCAGCAAATATTCACACGATCTTGCCAATTTTTCACAACATTCAGTGTTCAGCATAAAATAAAAATTACCACAAATTACCATAATAAAATTTGTCTAAAAATGAAACAGTTTAGTAGAAAATAAAGCAAGTCTTCTTAATATTAAAGGTTATATTGGAGTAGAATTTCAAATTAAGAATAAACCCGCTAGCAGAATTACTAAAAATTCACTTCACTTTTATAGGGGCAAATGAGATGTAAAAGAAGGAAAAAAATTCTCATTTGAACACAGACCTGTGACATTGGAAAGTGCAAAAAAGAAAACAAGTCTTGAAAACGAATTTTCGTAAATTTTCAAGAAATAATTTTTTAAAACAACTTCATTAGAAATAATAATGGAAAGTAAATGCTTTACTAATGAATCAATTTTCTCGTAAAAAATTTCCAGTATACTCTAACTTGAAATTTTAACCTACAAGGTTCTGCTTGTTATAAATATTATTTACGCTTGTAATACCAGATGTAATGAAATGAAAAAACCGATTATTATTGCCAATATTCAGTTTTCCCATAATTTCTTCACCAGAAGCATTTACTATTCGAAGATGTTGCGTCGACCTCGCTTTTGCCCCGTCTGTTCCCAGATTTAAGAAAAAAATTAGCACTGTCCATGATATCCTTTAAAATTGAGGACATAATCCATTCATAGAATTTCATTATTTCATAAATACTTACGATCAATTCAATGTATCAATACTGGCTTGGTTTCTTCATAAATATAATTACCTAATGAAATTTGGAAAACATATGCGTTTTTCTGCGCTTCCTAAAAATTGCTCAAATTTCAATTATTCAAGGTTATTTTGGTGAAACTTGTTTTCTTTAAACACCGCCTCCTATGGGCTAATTTGCAATATTGCAATAAAAAGTTATTCTCTCAAAAAGTTTGATAGCATTTAACCGAACTTAATAAATTTCTCCTTTTTCTCCTGAAAAACGATTAGAAAACGCTATTAGCATGAAGTGTAAGATAATGAGTGGATAGGATTCTACTTCCCATCAAACAAATTTTTCATTAAAAGGTCCAAGTGGGGCACTGGCTGCTCACCTATATTTCTATCGTCAAAAAGCTCCGTGGCAATTTTTTTCTGAATAGTGCTAACAGTGTAGAAAGCTTGGCCAGAAATGATAAGTGCTAGTTTACTCAGAAAAGGCATTAAATTCACAAATTTTTTGATGATATGCAAAAAATTTATATTATTTATTTATTTATTAAATTTATATTATTTATTTGATGACTACAATAAATTCTTAAAATCAACCATAAATAGGAGACATAAGCGTGAGAGTTTTTTTTCTAAGAGCTGATTAAGCTCGTTCTACTGGCTATTCGTGTCAAACAAATTTTGCCAGGAAATCAGTCACCTGGCGCATAGAAATATAGACGAGTCGACTGCATCACTCAAAAGCGGAGCATAAAGAGAGTGTAATGATTTCAATTTCAACTTTATTACAAGAATTTCATATTTTTACTCCTTTCAAGTAGCGGAATTGAATCTGAATCGAACCAATTTACCACTCAACTATACTAATAGTTTAGCAGTTGAAAAGCCTTTAAGCAATTAGTAATCGTTTTAAATAACAACGACGATCAGAGAGGCCCTAATTATGCTTATGACAATAAACCTTGTTCACTTGCAAACTTGCACAATTTATCCACTTGCAAACTTAAAAATGGCAGCAACGACATTCCTTGCACTTTGTATAGTATTCTCTCTTTCATGTATACCTAGTTTGACTTTTTTATGAGCATATTTCTCGAAACATCTAAAACAAATCGATATAACAAATTTGTTTGGAATTTTTTTATGCCCAACATTTCGACAATATTAACTGAATTTTCACTGAGATCACTCATGATCGAAGAGAGACGACGAAATATTTTTGGCTGAGCTCACTCCCACTGCATTGTCGCATCAGATTTTAAGAGAGCATCACTTGGCGATAGAAGTAGAAGTAGGTACACAGCATTAATCGGATTTTTGAGACAGGTTTATCCTCGCCACAAAAGCATCGTCGCTCCCAAATGAAAGCGATAATCTACTAAATCATTCACACTTTCTGCGTCTTTCTCATTTCTCATTAAACAACATTTCATCGGATCAGCTGATTCAGAAGGGATTTACATTTTGCTGGTCTCGAAAAGAATTGGACCTTACGTTAACTGACGAAAAATTCATCTTTACGCCACTGCATTACAACCTTCCTCAATAACAAATTATTTTAAAGTGATAATTAAATGATAGCATGTCATGTTATGTAATAGTATTATGGCAAATAAACGCAACTTATTGCAATAAAAAGTGGATTGAACCCAACTGCTCACACAAGTTCTTGCTCAGTATTCCACAGATGTACGCTTCAAAGGGTAGAGAATCGCATTTTCCATTTCACCATTTGATAAGCAGTACTTCGTGAGAACAACTATATTTGATGATACATTGAGCAGCATTGTTAGGAATGTAAGTGATAAGGTGAGACTTAGGCGATTTGTTGGCTTCGACATTCTTCTTCTAACAGCTATTAGCATTACTGGTTTGACTGGCTACAATGGAAAGGTATTTCCAAGCTGTTCTATCCGATGCCATCGACAATAATAACCCTTCCTCTTTCCATCGTCTAAGTCCATATATCGCTGATCGCTCAGAATTTTTCTTGGTATCAGTCCAGGTCTTGGTTGG